CCCCTTGGTAAATCAGTGTGCATCACATAATCTACTATGGGAGAGGAATAGTTTGGCCTTCTAATTCCTTTATTGAGACTGTTTTGAGCCATAATCCTTTCTATCATGGTGGTTAAATTATTTTCTGCCAAGATGTTGTTATTTCGAATTCTATGAACGACTTCATCAGCATCTTGGTGTCGACCCACCATGACAACTCCTCTAGGTTGTTCTTCTCGAAACTCTGGGACTTCTAACCTTTCGACCCTTGCCCCTGGTTCTATAACTCCCCTTTGTGGTTCCTCACGAATCACTGGGGCATTTTATCTTTGTGCCCTTGCCCCCAAGTTAACCCCCTCTCTGGCTGGTCTATAGGGTGGGTCATCAGCAATTTGTTCTATGATGGGTATGTTCGCTCGAACCAACGCCTGATTCTTCCTACGCCTTTCTGGCGGAGCGAAAAAATCTGCTATTCGACTCATGTTGTCCGCGTTTTCTCTGTTGGTTACAGTTACATTTTGTACTATTGGGGCAAAGATTTCTTGCATAGTCTGCGCTAACACTCCTATCATATTATGGTTACTATCATCCATTAATTGTCTAAAGGCCATCTGATTTTCTGTGGTTAAGATAGGCAGTGTATTATGACCTACTGAACCTTGGGTATTTGTCATAAATTGGTTGGCCCCAGATCCGGACCCAAATTATGGTGACGAATTTGATGTGGAATTGTGCAAACCCACCATAAAAGATGCTGGCATCCCATAAGAGGGATTTTTGGGTCTAATGCCATCGAAACCGGGTGGTCTAGTTGGTGGTGGGGTGGCGAAATGGGTTTGTGTCCCTGATGGTGGGACAAATCCTGCAGGATAAATAGTGGTCCATGTATTTCCTAGGGTCGAACTATTGGTTGTCATGCCACTTGCTCCATTTGTGGCCACACTACTGGTAGAAGATGCAACAGACTGTGCGTTCGTAGGGATCGCGCTAGACGTCCCCGTCGAAACAGACGTATTGGTTCCTGTTCCATGTGGGGAATTTTGTTCCCCTTGTTGATTGTTTGGATTAGACATCCTACTACTACGTTTTCTTCTGGGTAAGGGTTGGTTACTATTAATTGTTTTACCACTTCTAAGGTTCATATAACAGTGAAATTGATACTCAGAAAAGAACTTACACAGCGAGATGATATCCTAAAAATCTTTACTTTCGACTTTCTTAACCACGGGTCCCACTGAGCGTGCCAATTTGTTCACAGTGATTTCTGGTAAACAACTGCTAGTCTTCCAAACTATCGAATAAACTTAATTACTGTTATTCAATTTCTCTGGTAACTTGCAGGATCGACTAGATTGATCCTATGGGACATAGTTGTTTGGCTAAATCTAATCGTAAAATTGGTATTCATATTTAGGACTTCTAATTAAAGTGTTTCAAAGACATCCAATCCACTTCGATTACTACACTAAATGATTCGAAGGATAATTTCTATATGATGTAGGGAATGTTCATTAGAAAAGTAAAAAGACTTTAAGATTGGGTAAATGGCAGGATTAAGTGAGTGAATGTAAAAGTTGCTGAATGTTTAAAGGATTCGAACATAAGAAAAGCGTTTAGATGCAGAAAGAAATAAATGACTCTGAATGTAAAGGCTTTAATGTAAAGGCATGAACGTAAAAATGTTTGAAGCACAAATGAAATGGAAATGAAAGACAAAACTGGAAAATATAAAGAGTTTTTATTGAATTGTAAATGTTGGTGTTATCATACGTACATCTTTCGAGCATTCGTTTCCCTATCCATGCGGTATTTTGAATGTTTACTGAATTTGTACAACAGATATGACACCCCAAATCCTAATACTAAGACCTCTATTTATACTATTTTGACCATAACGGTCTTGCTATCAGAATCTGCCACGTTCGAAGCATGCAGAGCATTACTTCCCTCTAGCCTCCACGCGTCCTCGAACGCTCCAACGCTTATGTATTTGAATTTCCAATATCCCGCTCATGTTTGAATTTCAAAACACCTTGGAACCTTCGTTTCGAATTCGTTTCAAAGGTTATTTTCGAAAACAACCTTCACAAATATAATCTCATCATTATTTCGAAAAATTCTTTAGGCTTACACTCCACAACCATCATTCGAAACCTTGAACTTTAATATTTCCATTCGGAAAAAACAGTCTCTTCCATTCCAAACCATAAAATTCAAACAAGCCCAATCATTTCATTTCGAATCACAATATCAAAATCTTCAGCCAACACTATCACTACAAATTCTTATTATATCACTTTCAAATTCTTTACAAAAATTTTAAACATATAAACTTCATTCTTCGTAATGGCGTACAAATCTACCCCAATAGACTGACTAAACCCTGTCTTATTTAAAAGAAAACCAGAAACAATATTCTTTCTAATCTTAGGAACATGTATAACGTTTCTTAAGATTAAAGTCTTTTTGAAGGTGAAATTTAGCTCCATGTCTATAATTCCAGCAACATTCGTGGTTTGGCCATCTCCCAACAACACTTTCTTATCTTTAGTATTCGTGTATGTTTAAACATAATACGATCATAAAAGACACAACGAGAGACGCAAGTGTCTATCCACCAATCAACATATCCATCAACCATGTTGATTTCAATGACCATAGCAATAAATTTCCCATTAGTCAGGTTGACCTGTGCATTAGGGACAACACAAAGTTCAAGCTTACTTCTATATTTCTTAGTCATATGACTTGATTTTCTATAGTTAAAACAAAGGGAAACCAACGTCATTTTTTTAGGTGGTGTTGTTGCTTAGTTGGAGCTATTGGGATCATAGAAGGATTTCCATTCTTAATTTGGTTCACAATATTGCGGTTCTGATTCTTTAATCATTTTCCAAATGGCTTCAGAACTACACCGAATTTCTTTTTGTTGTTTGAAACAACCAAGACTTTTTATTTTTGATATTGTCTCTAAGATTCCCTTTTTGTTTTTTAAACATTCAAACTATGAGGTAGTTTGTCAATAATAAAACCAATTTGAAATTGTTCATTTAAACACATACCTTTTGTGATGATCTTTTAAGCAATCTTTTGAAGTTCATAACATTGAGCCTCCATCGGCCTTACATCTTTGCATTTGATACTTGAAGTATCAGCTAACAACATACTTCTTTGCTCCAGCTTCTACGCCATACTTCTTTTTCTGAGTCTCTCAATCTTGTTTTGCAATATCACATCAATTGTAATTATCATACAGATCATCTGCGAGTCTATTCAAAATATAATTTTGTAGAGATTTTCATTCTCTTTCTATAAGGTGATTTTTTTACTATGCTGTAAATCATTCGCTTTAATTTGTGCAGTAGATTCAACTTCAACACTATTAAGTGTTCCTTCTAAATCTCCAGATTTACTATCGTTAGTTTGTTCGATTGATCTAGAAGGAGCAACAGAATGTCATCGATCAGAACGTTAGCAACTTTTTTCAACGTTAAGAGCTTCATCTTTTGTTGCCAACGTTTGAAGTGACTTCTCTCAAACATGAACGATTTCTCAAAGACAATATCCGCAAAAGAACCAATAATTTCTTCGGTAGCCATGGAAGTTTGAAACGTCTTAAAATTGTTGTTTTCAGATTTTAAAATATTTTCCACCGAAGAAATTACAAGGTTGAGTCGCAGACTAGGTCACTCTCTTTAAGACGTTTTGCGACACTGCTCAAAATTATGCAAAGCAGTCAAACTACCACGCCGCCTCCAGGATAAAACAGACTAGTTCTATACTGTACGATTACTACTTACATAATAGATAATCGGTCTAAAAATACACTCTCTGATGGTACAAGACCATTCAAATATGTTATCAACACCACTCGTAATATCTGGTACAAAGACCAGTCATAATAATTTCTCAAACAAAAGAAAACTCAAATAATTCTCCAAAGAGAAATTAATAATGATCAATTGACCACTCATAATAATTTCTCCAACAAAGAGATATTCAAATAGTTCTCCAAAAAAAATCCAAAAGATTTAACTTGAAAATTTCTCAACTCAAATGAGGAGAAATTAACATAATTCTCTAAAGAGAATTCAAGAAAATACTCAGAAAATTCAACGAGTAGGAAGAAAGGGGAAGAAGATGGCGCTTCGACAATTCGAGAGACGCAGAGTTATGAGAGTGAGGAAGGAAAAACTAATAGAATAGTTTTTGGTGTGATTTAGAATGAAACATGTGCGCTCCTTATATAGTGAAGTAAGATAGTTAATATTTCTCACATGAGCAATGTGAGACTAAATGATTTTTTTCAACCAAAAAGATATTCTAACAATGTGGGACTTGAGAAATTTTTAAATTCAACATATTGGAACATGGACATGTTCCAACAATAGAAAAGTACAATAATAATGCATAACATTTAGCTCCAGAAGCCTTTTCTTTGCTTCTTTGGATATGAAATACTTGTCTTCATTTAAATCAGTTATGCTCTTGCACAATCCATCAATACGGCGATTCAATAACCAAATTATGTGGATACGATACGATATAACCTAAATATCACCTAATAAATTAATAACTTACTTTTTGTTTGCCGCTCCACCGCTGCAACATGCGCGAACTAAGACACTGATCCGAAATTCGCTGATCAATCTTGCACGTAAACTTGTTTTCAAGAGACCAGTGTTATTTACTAAATTCAACGATAAACACTGTGTGTAAAAGCTTGTAGCCCAATTATCTTTCTTGGTGTACCGTAAATCTAATCTTTAGCACGACTTGTGCTTGGCAATGAAATACAGTTAATGACTAGAGTATAAAAAACGAAACTGATCTTGCATATATTTCATTCTAAACTCAGAAATAGGTACTCCAATATTTAAAGGTCTTAAAACAATAGTGCTAAAAATAAAATAACCACAACAATAAAGAAATTCTAGCAATAATGTTCATCCTTCATAACATTGCCCATAACTAACTTTCCCATGACATACTCTTAAACAACAACACAATGTTCATATTTCTTATTTCTCCTTCTTAACTTGGGTAAACAGGTGACGGAGACCATTTGTGAGTGCAGATGTTGAGTTTAAAGCTTCCTTAAATATGCTTAGACTCTGCAGGGACACAATAACATGGCACAACAAGCTCTTATTACTCTCATAATAAATGAAAACTTTGAATATAAACCCAAAATAGTGAGGGCAATAAGTGTACAAAGTATATTTATAGTTACCTCTTTGATGCCAATGGTGACAACTTTTTCCTCCAAATCATTAAGAGAAATTTTGAAACGGTCAAGTAAAAATACAGATGAAATTGGAGACAACAACGGCTCTATGACCAGATCATCTGTAACCATATACATTTTTGGTGTCTTGATATAACTTCCAGGACGTTCTGTAGGCGGTATGGTAATGGTATTAACCAAATTCATTTTTTTCAAATTGTGCCCGTCATTACAAACTTCATTACTTTTGAAAAGTGTGACCTCAGTTTTTCTTTGATTGGGAGTAGTATCGCGTTGAAAATAACAATAATAATGCATAACATTTAGCCCCAGAAGCCTTTTCTTTGGTTCTTTGAAAATGAAATACTCGTCTTCATTTAAATCGTCTATGCTTTTGCAAAATCCATCAATACTACCCAAAGAATAATTCCCCTCTAACTTGCGTAAAACTCCGCCCAACGGAAAAGTTAGAAATCGTATAATCAACTCGGCAAAATCCTGTCCCCCTTGAGCATACAATATAACATCATCTGATTTTCTTATGACTAGCTTCACAGTGATATTCATATCACCACTGATAAGGTCTTTAACATCACAAGAGAAAATCCTTGATCTCTCAATAAGAGGTTTCATTCCTAAAAACACATCGGTTAGAGGTGTCTTGGAAAACAATGAACACTTTAACAGATCCAATACCTGCAGAATATTAGTACTAATCAATCAGACACTCAAAATTTAGAAGGGAGTGCAGCAAAATTGCAGATACAAAACCTTCTCCTTAGTGACATTGACAGTCATTTCTTTAACCGAGCTTGTGTCTTTAATTCCAAAGTTCTTGGTGAGATCAAAGATTGTGTGATCCATGGAGTGCGGCAAAACAATTAAATCATCGCTAATAACAAATTTTGTAACAGGTTTGACAAATCCAAAGCAAAACTGAAACATGGGTAATGACAGAGAAACTAAACGGGACAAAGGATGGCCATGTTCACAATAATGTTTTTTGGTGCCTAAGCTCAAATAAGAACATTCACAATGAAATTCATCAAACCTGGAACACATGAAGTAATTTGTGGGCACAGTATCATCAATGTTAATTTTGAGAAAGCGGTAAAAATCTTCCGATGAGTTATAGTTTGTCAATAAGCCAAGATTTTGCACACTTTGACTGAGAGAGTTCAGACATCCAATTGTAATGGGCCCTATTTCTGAATCTTTCTGAACAAGTTTTGCAATGGTACCTAATGGAAATGTTAAGAAGCTACATAGAATGTCTACAAAATCTTTATCTGCTTCAGCAAATACAACTTTGTTAGTATCTGTGTTTACCAGAAGCTTCAAAGACAGTGTTTGCTCCTTAGTTTGGAATTGAAAAACAGCCAGGATCGCAACTATCAAACGAGAAATCAAACTGTAAACAAAAGAAAGAACCATAATGGAGTTGTGAATTCAGCTAAAGTGTAAACTGCAAAATGCCAATTCTTTTTGTGAGTTGCAGCGTTCATATATAGCTGAAAAATGCTATTTTCAACATTATGATTCAGATCTTTTAGATGGCCATTTTTTTCAAGTTTTGGAGATTTGGTTTTTATGGTAGTGTATTTCTTAGTCAACGTGAAAGTCGGAATGAGGGGATAAGGTCATTCTAACAAATGTGTCATTGCTTTTAAAACTACAACTCTCATTGTTCATAAAGTCATCGGTTTCACAGCACAACTTTTAAAATAATAATTAACTATTTGATTAAAGTATAATAATAAATTATATTTTACTTATTAAAATATTTTTATTGTGTTAATTATTTAATTTTTTAAATTTTCTAAAAGAAAATATTAAATTTTTAGTTTGAATATTTAAAGTTATAATCGATAAATTTAGTCAACAGTGCACATGCGATAACGCGTCAACTACCCTATTTTGTTCTTCGGACTTCTGAACAATATCATATGAGTAATCGATAAACTTAGCCAAATAAAATTATTGTTCAAGTGTTTGGGTCACCCGTGTGATGAGCTCCCTCAAGCTCCGTTGGTCGGTATAAATGGTGAAAGTATTTGCCAGTAAGTAGGTGCATCATTTTTTGACGGCAGAGGCAATGGCACACAATTCAAGAACACTAGTATAAGTAGCGAGCATACAAGGGAAAAATGGCTTACTTTAGTAGCACATAGAACGATCGTGTTGAATGAAAATAGCGCTCATACTCAGATGCAGGGGAATTTGCGGTGCAGTTTAAGCGATTTTAAGGTAAAAAATTATCCGAACTTTAAGAAAAAAAAAATATAGAGTTCGATTTGGTTGACTTTTAAAAATAAATTTGAACCAAAGCAAACCAAACTAATGCGGTTTGAATTAGTTCGGTTGGTTTGATTTTTTTTTTAAAAAAATTATTAAGTCATACATACACATATACAGAAAAATATAATTTTGTGTTTAATTGTTCATACATTATCATAAAAAAATTTATAATTGTCAAAATAAGTTTGTAATTTGATATAAAATTTGCGTAGGATAATTTTATCTAAATCTAAAGAATGATATAGACAAGATTGCATTCTTAAATAAATATTATACAAAGAATACGATAAAATATATTTTGTGAAAATAATATTTATAAATGAATAATATTTTTTTATGATTTATAAATTAAAATAAATATCATATAAAGTATGATAAAATATACACATAATACATGTTGATTTCTCTAAAGAATTAAAGAAATGTATATTGGTTAGTAAGATTTTATAACATAATGCGGTTTTGTTTGGTTTGGTTCGGTTTGTAAAATACAAATTGCAAATTGAACCAAACCGCGCGGTTCCGATAGAAAATGACTCAAACGCATTCGAATCAAATGCGGCTTTTTACAGTTTCGATTTGGTTCGGTTCAGTTTTGCGGTTTTCTATTGGGCCGGTTTGATTTTGAACACCCCTACTCAGATGTGAGGCATCTGTTTCAAAATTAAACCATTCATCAAAATTCTCAAAGGCTTCTTGTCCTCGGTTTGTCCATATATATGCATCCTTTTTCAATAGGTTCGTTAGTTGTTGAGCAATAGTAGCACAATTCTTCACGACTTTGCGATAGAAACATGTCAACTTGAAGAACCTACAAAGCTTTTTGATATTGCTCGGCGTCGGCCATGATGTCATGACACTAACCTTTGCCGGATTAGGCCCAACCCCATCAACTGACATAATATGACCCAAATATTCAATTGAGGGTTTGGAAAAATAGCATTTGGAGTGTTTCAGGCACAAAGCATTATCCAACAGACACTAAAAACCACTTCGTGTGTTGCAAGTGACTCTCAAAAGTGGGGCTATACACTAGAATATTTTCGAAAAACATAATCATAAATCAACGCACGTTAGGTTGTAAAATCAAATTCATCATGGATTGAAAGGTGGAAGGCACATTGCACAAACCAAATAGCATTACCAAGAATTTAGAGCGCCCTTGGTGAGTTCTGAACACCGTTTTGTGGTTGCCGTGCGGTGATCTGCAAATTTGATAATACATGGATCATAAGTCAAGCTTCAAAACCACTTGGTTCCATATAATTCACCAAGCAATTCGTCTAAGCCCAAGATGGGTAAACGATCCTTGATTGTGATGACATTTAGACCACATTAATCAACACAAAATTGCCAGGTGTCGTCCTTTTTGCAGACCAAGAGAACTAGGTTTGTTCTAGGTCATCAGGTTTTAGAGAGTTTTTATCTCGATTTATTTAAAATATTAGAGTTTTTATCTCGATTTATTTACGTCAGATGTTGTCCCTTGGTTTTTAAATAAACCGAGATAAAAACTCTCAAATTTTTTATTCCTTTTGGAACCAAAAAGGTGCCTTTATATTTTATATATTTTATGTCGAATATGTTCCCTCAGTTTTTAACGAACCCGAGATAAAATTTCTCTAAATTTTTCATTCACTTAGAGTTAATGTTAAGTCTAGCTCATTCACTTTTTGAGTCTTAGTGAAAGAACATCATTCTTCTCCTTCCAACGAAAGAACACTATTCTTTTCCAAGGAGGAAGGAAACTCAAACGTCATTTTTCTTTTAGTCTTTCGTCATATTTCAGGTATGTACAAGTTCTTCATTACTGTTGTTGTTGTTGGTTTTGTTGCCATTGTCGTTGTTGTTGTTGTTATTATTTTGAGTCTGCCTTGTTGTTTACTATTTTGTTGGCTTTATTTTTTTTTATTTTCAGAAGTTTTATGTGATTATGGATAGTAGTTGGACGAAAGGCAATAGATTGAGTAAAGAGTATAAGAATGAAGTGATATCATTTCTTGATTTCGGTGAAAAAAACCTTCCTAAGAATAATGGAATATTTTGGTGTCCTTGTAAAAAATACTTTAATACAAAAAAACAACCAAAGAAATACATATTCAATCATTTAGGTTGTGATAGAATTATTCAAAATTATACGAAATAGGTATGGAATGGTGAAGTGACAAAAAAGATACATTTGTCACATACAGTTGAAGATGGTGAATTTATGAATGATACTCTAAAAGACATGATTCGTGATATTGGAGTAGATGCTTTCATGAAAGCTAATGTGGTGGAGACTTTGCAAAGAAACACGTAAGATTCGTTGTATCCAAAATGTCAACATTTTATAAGAATGTTAGTTGTGTTAAGATTATTTAATCTTAAGGAAAAAAGTGGATGAACGGATAAAAGTTTCACTGAATTATTTAAATTGTTGAAATAAATGCTTTTTAAAGGTAACACGTTGTCGAACCGTATTTATGAGGCCAAGAAGATATTGTGTCCAATAGGTTTGGACTATGTCAAAATACATGCATGTTGTAATAATTTCATCTTATATAGGAAAAGTTTGAAAACTTGAATGAGTGCTTGAGGTGTGGGGAGTCACGCTTCAATTCCTTGATACTCTGGGAAAGATCAAATGTTGGGTGCCAATATATTTTCTATTGTTTTTCCTTGCATTTGTTTATGATATAAACAAAAAGGGTTAGATAAATAAATGATTTTTTACTCAAATAAATATTTAAGAACATAAACCTTAAATCTGAATTATTTCCTGCTCTTGCGATACATCATAGAGAACTCTTCATGGAAAACACTCTAGAAAAACCAAATAATTTTCAAGTGCTTCATGATTTTCATTATCAATTTTTGATATTCAGAATGCTTTTATAATGGGAGTTATTTATGTTTCAGGCAAATCACTAATGATAATGTCATGAGCGTTCATAGTCATGAAATGGACAAAAAAGATTTGATTAAGGACGATAATAAATATCCTCAATTTTAACGCTAAATTATCTCCTCAGTTTTTAGAAAAAACGAGGTGAAAAGTTTCCTTTTTTGTATTACATTATTTACACAAAATATTAAAACACAATATTACAACAAATATTCTTGTAGAACAACAAATCTTTGTTGTAACGAATTATTTACTCAAAACATTGGAAAATATTATTATATGGATTGAATACATCTAACTTCTAAAGGAGAGATATTTGTTCTAACCATTGAAAAATATTTTTCTGCACTTGCAATTCATCATAAGCATATTAAGTTCTTTTTCAAGCTCCTTAGGTTCCATCTTAAATGAAATGATAAGCATTTATCATAAAGAATGATGCGTACGAGTTATGATTGGGGTAAAATATGTTTAAGGAGTGCTTTTATAATAAAATATGATTATCTTATCCCTCGTTTTTTTATGAAAACCTACAGGATAGATAATTAGTTTACAAATAAAAATTATAATAAAAAGAGAGGTTCCTGTATTATTTTTCCCTCGGTTATGATAAAATCTGAGGTAAAAGTATTTTCCTATTTATAACGTCTCATTTCCAACTCTTTTTGTCTTCAAACCTTGTTTCAAAGTCTTTTTTATTAAAAAAATGGATGCAAATCTTTTGTTCGTTATTAATGAAAAGTTTGTTGATTTCAATGATTTTGATGGTTTTGATCCAAGGAGAGTTGTTTCCAAACAAAAGTTAAATGGTTAATTTCATATTCTTCATGGCGCCATCTACACTAATCTCGTTAAAAAGTTTTGGTTAAATGCCTCTGTTGTGCCAGCTGGTCATAATGAAGTCATCTAGTCCCATGTCAACGGCTCTCATTTCTTCATTACTCCACTTATTATTGAGGCAATAAACTGCGAAGAGACATGTATCTGTGTTGAATATTATAGATTCAACAATGTCGACTCAACCAGCCTTCACTGAATTTATACCAACCAAGATAAATCCACCAGTCTTGCTTCTCTACTCCTAATTGTAAAATTTTGGTTTCAACTTCTAATGGAAAATCTCTATCTAATACTGAAACGACTGGAAATGCTTACTTGAGATGACAAACATCTCTTCTACTTCCTTACCTACAACGTCAAAGTTAATCTTCTTCTTACCATTTTTAACTTCTTAAAGGATATGATAAGCATCTCTCGAGAGAAAATGACTTTCCTCATACCATATGGAAGAGTTCTTTCTTAACTTTTCACCAAGTTAGGGATAATGTTGAAGTTGAGTGGAATGAGAAGTTTGAATATGTGGAATAATTATCTTTGTTGTCCTGTTTTTTTACTATCAATGAAATATTTCCTTTTCTATTATTGCCTATTTTTCTTTATTAATAACAAAGATTTTGAGAATTACTAATTAACAAAGAAAAACATGGAATCTGGAAAAGATGCCAAATGAGAAATCGTTAAAAAAAACTTTAAATGCGGTAACATGGATTCGAAGTTGATACCTTGTAGCTATATTCCCTCAGTTTTCCATAAAATCGAGAGAATATGTTTTTTTTGTTTTTTTATGAATACAAAATGACGCTCAATTATATTTGTGTTACCTCGGTTTTCATGACACAAGTTGTTTATTTTCTTAAAAAAAATCAAACAAGGCGCTCCCAGGACATATACTCTTGGTTTTTAGCATGTTCAAGATTAAAGTTTCGTCATCAAAAGTGTTATTTGTAGTAGTGGAAACAAAACAAAAAACTCGTGGAGAAAAATATTTGAAAAAAGAGGTCGGTGTTCTTTGATCTTCTATATTGGTCTAGTCTAGATGTAAGACATTGTTTTGATGCGATGTATATGGAGAAAAATGTATGTGATAGTTTGATTGAAATACTTCTCAATATTAAAGGAAAGATAAAAGATACTAAGAAATCCCGTGAAGATATGGTTGTTATGGATATACAACAAGAGTTAGCCCCAAAAGAAATAAGAAATAGAAGATATTTTCCCCTAACATGTCACACTCTGGATAAAAAAGTAAAAAAAAGTTTTTGCGAATGTGAAGAACATATTTCCCTAGGGTACTCATCAAATATGAAGAGACTTGTGTCAATGAATGATCTCAAGTTAGTTGGCTTAAAATCTCATGATTGTCATGTCTTGATGCAACAACTTCTATCAGTGACTATCTGTGGCATTTTATCAAGAAATGTAAGGGTAACTATAACCAGATTGTGCTTATTCTTTGGTTTTCATCCACAATTCATCAATAATCCATAAATTTTCTATCTTCCAAGAACTTATAATTCTTGTTTTCTTGGTTTATTGTATGGTTGTTGACTTTATCAGACAACAGTCTAAGAATAATACACTTTTCCCCTTTCACAATTTTTTGCGCATTTACAAATAATGATTTTTTTATTCGCCGATGATTTAATACGAGGCCCCCCGTTTTCAATATTTTTTTAATTTGTTTGTTTTTTTCAACCAAATAATAAATAGTTGATGGTTTGTCTTTTAAATTATATATAAAATTTACACTAATTTCTACATATACTTTCATTACAAAAATTATACTTTAGTAACCTGCTTTATTTTCTCACGAAAATCTTTTGACAATAGTATGGTGGTTTTGAGTTAAACTATTTTCGTTATTTTTTTCTTATAATTGGTTAAACTTGATGGCTTGTTATAGAAGCTCACTCAAGACCACTTTTCATTCACAATACGCACACCAACTTTTATCACTCACTAATTCTTTACTTTCACTAACAACTCTTACCTTGTTTTCCCTTTTTGTTACAGTAAATATTAAACTCTATTCTACCAATTGTATATAGTACTACTTACCCACCTAATACACACTCATCGCATGGCCTAAGAATTTTCTCTAACACCCATTGTAATATCCTTACACAACCACACAGATTGATACATCCCTAGATCATTCACTAAATTCACAATAAAAGAATACCAATTTTTACATGAGTCTACGTATTTTTTTTTTTTATCTAACCATTAGCATCATAATCTCCATCCATGTTTTCACAGTATAAATACATCAACCTCCAAATCACTCCAATCCAAAATCATACGTAAAACTCATGCCACAATTTCATAAGACTAACATGTAATGTTAACAATTTCAACAAGATCACCCAACTCACAAAACCAAACTCACAACACCATGATTGTATAATTATTGTTTCTTTCACTCTTGTTGTTTTTTGTTTTCCAGATTTGCTTACAGAGAAGATGCTCCAAGACCCCGACGCACCCTCCAGTCTCCTCTGCATAACTACCGTGCTGCTGACGCGATGAAGATTGAACAGCAACACAAAACTGTGACAAAAATCGGAACCAAAAGAGAGGAAAAGATCATTAATCCATCAATCATAGGAGACTCAAAATAAAAATCTGAAGATTTGTCATATTGCTATTACTGCCTTTTTTTAGTTATTATTTATTTATTTGTTATTATTTTAATTTATGTTGTATTTAATTAAATTTAGGAGTAGGAAGTTTAGTGGTTTGGGCTTTGGGCCTAGAATTTCGGTTTTTTCTATTCATTTTAGTATTAACACCCTCATTTCTTTTTGTATCTCTTAGATTTCTAATTAATTTAGTTTTACTCGCACAATTAAGTTACTAACTAACTTACAAATAAAAATATCAAAATATGTTATTTACTTAATTAAAATTCAAAAATACAAAATTCAAAAATGTGATTCAATTCATTTAATTTAAGATAAATCTTGTAAATAATTTTGTACATTAATTCAAACATATTACAAATAACAAGATTTGTGGATACACATTCGCCATATTTTTTGATTGGCTCAAACACCTTATTAATTAACTGTTCAACATTAAAATATTAAAATTCATGCAACTCACCAAATGCTCCCTCTGCATCCTCTATGACGAGCGACACGTGACCAATATCTGGTCACGAGATAAGGATACTTTACCATACTCCCTCTACTTTGTGTCCTACCATACTCTTTAATCAAATCGAAACCAAAACAGTTAACCAACAACATCAAATCATTTTCTACTAACATAATCAAAATCAAGATATTTTCGAAAAAGGATTAAGGAGAATTACTTTCAAAATTAACTGTGAATTGCGTCTACGATCACTCAACTTACAACCCATACAAGGTTCAAGGATAATTTGAAAGCAATTATATGCAATCCTATAAAAAACACCAACCAACTGCGAATTACGAATTGAGACTTTGATTCCTCATAAGAGGATACATAGGTGTTGTACCCCAAAATTTTCTCTCTCATTTCTTGAGACATTTCCTACAAAGATCTTCAATGCCTCAAGTTTGCACAAGTATCGACTAGGTCAAACAATTTCCTCAACACTGATGCCTCAAATTAGGGTTTGAGTTTGTACAAAGGCAGTCAGATTTCTAATGTTTTAAATGACTTTCATGGATCATTATGGACCCTTAGGATTACTTTTGTCAAGTTTCAAATCTTGGATCACGGTTTTCCAAGAAAGTCTTTCAAATTATCAAAAGGGTAAAATGGGCAAAATTAGGGTTTTGACTGAAAATGATCGAACTTTAATTTTTGACCTAATACCTGACTTATTAGTGGGAAGCATGATCTCAAGGATCCGAGCGCGTCATTTTGACCCAATCGCATATTTCAATTCATCTCCTGAGATCAGTGGATCGATAGACAAAATTCAATCAACTGGCATAAAAAGTCAACTGTACACTAAAAAGTCAAACTTTGACTTTTTGACTAAAATTGAGTCCCAAAAAAATCATATTTCATTAAGATATTTCATTAAATCATCTTTCTTGGGTACCGGCATAATGTTATCTATCCATGGCGGATAATCTACCACTGCTAAGAACCCTACATCAAACTGTTAAAGAACCTCTTCTCTAATCTTGCTAGACATATCTGGACGAGTTCTTCTGAGTTTTTGCCTAACTGGAGAACAACCTTCTTTGAGAGGTAGTCTATGCACCACAATTTCTGTATCTAATCCCGGCATGTCTCTGTAGGACCAGGAAAATATATCCATGTACTCATGTAATAGCTTGATCCGCCTTTCTTTGACGTTCTGCTCTAACATGGCCCCTAGCTTGATTTATTTCAGATCTTCCTTTGTGCCTAGATTAATGGTCTCAATAGCCTCTTGATAGTGGTTGTATGTTGTCAGCCTTTCTCTCTATTTCCCTTTCCATTTCTTCAGAAAGTTCAATATCTTCATCACCTTTCTCTTCAGCTTGGTTGATAGAAGCATCAAAATTATATCAGATTGCAGTAGTAACATTATCGGTGGTTTTGGGCATGGATTTATATGTTTATCATGTTTTGGTGCAGATTTTAGTATATGAATTTTGAAAATACATATGAAGAGAAAGTATTGCCATTTTTAAATTTAAGAGATAAATGCAAGAGAAGGATGAGGTTCTTAATTGAAAACAAAATATAACTTTTTATTAATCGTAAATATTGTCTGAAACAAAATGGGGGGACCCTTACAACCAACCCCTATGCCTCGGGCTTGACATAGGTTCTAAAAAACAAGAAAAATCACTTAGGAAAGAAAAAGATCTCGGGAATCTCCACGGTTGTCCAGTTCTTGAGTTCTTCTTCTGGGTCGCATTCTCAGATGTAGTCAGTTGCCCTTTTGGTGTTGACTTTGTTGGATAACATCACCACCTGTCTGCCATGCTCCATTCCCTTGTTGACAAATGTCTCTTGGATGGGAGGAAACCGTGCTTTACCCTTCAGAGTAGCTTTTGATAGTTCATAGCCCAAACTGAATCGATTTTTCTTTTCAGGAATTTATGGGAGCTTTCCCCAACCTTTCGAGGTACCACTTTCTACTCATGTCTGCAAATCTCTCCATGAGGTTATCGTAGGCCTATCTCTCTTCTTTACTGGTAAAGTTACCATTAAAGCAACTTCCGGGACTTGGAATGGGGTGGCTATACAGTCTTCGTCGACACTAATATACCTGTATGATTCGATGTGACTTACGAAGATGTCCTCCTCACCGTCAATTATAATTGACTTCCCTTTCACTAAGAACTTTAAATTTTGATGTAAGGTCGAAGTGACTGCCCCTGCTGCATGAATCCAAGGTCTCCCAAGTAAGCATGTGTACGCTGGTTCTATATCCATGACTTGGAAAGTGATATAGAAGATATGTGGCCCTATCTTGACTGGAAGGTCCACCTCTCCGAATACCGAGCTTTGAGAGCCGTAAAATGCTTTCACTATTGTAGAGCTTGGCCTTATCACGACGCCATCTAATGTTAACGTCTTAAAACTTGATTTCGGTAACACATTGAGGGTAGAGTCAGTATCGGTGAGTACTATGGATAGGATGATAGTACCTATCTGAATAGAGATATGTAGTGATTTTTTGTGAGCTTGGCCTTGTGGCGGCAATTCATCGTTATTGAAACCCAAGTATGATCCGGATGTTAGGTTTGCTACAACATTGTCAAATTGATTCACGGTAAACTCCTCTGCAACATGGGCTGAACTTAGTACCTTCATGAAAGAGTCTCGATGCGCCCCAGAATTGATGAGCAACGAGAGTATGGAAATTTTAGTTGGGGTTTGGTGAAGCTGATCCACCACCCTATAGTTACTTCTTTTGATTATTTTCAAAAACTCCCCCACCTCTTGGTTAGTAAAGCTTTTGCTTGGAGGTTCTTTTTCTTGACTTGTTTCTACCACTGCTTTTCCTTTATCTTTATTGACATCTCATTTTTATTCTTTGTTGTCTCATCATTCTTCTTTGGGGGTTCAGATTCGAAGACTCGACCACTACGGATCATACCCCATGTCCCTGCTATGTTTGAAATTTCAGATCCTTGACTTGATGATGGCTCATTCTCTTGCTTCAATCCGTTAATATACACGGGGGAATCATAACTCCATGGCAATGCTTTGTTACTTTCATAAGGGATAGGTGATGGTCCCTTGATTGTCATCGTGGCCTTTGGAACTGCTGATATCTGCAAAGTCTTCTTTGGTGTTATCGCTGGGGTTTCTGCCGATTCTTCCCACGGGATCACCAGAGTCTTCTTGTTAAGATTTGGGATTTGGCAAGGGATTACCAATGGCTTCTTCCCTTCAACCGCAGCTATATAGTTTTCTTTAAGGTTTGGTCTGAATTGGACTATCCCCTGGTCCACTAGTTTTTGAACGTTCTTTCAAAGGCTTTATTATGTTCCAACAGGAACCCACATTCCAACAGATATTCCTTCAACAAGTTTATCAGGGCTTTTGTTTTCCTGATTGCCCCAAAGTTGGTGACTATCTCGATCACATTTATCGCCGGTCCCCCATGCGGAGGCATGGGGTTTGATTTGATGTTAGGTTTCTCAAAAGTAATGTCTTAAGATTCTAACAAATCTTGAACCTTATATTTGAATGCCCATCATTATTATGGTGTGCCTAGGAGATCTTGGCGTCGACATTGTACTTTCGCGGGAGTGGCCCGACTGGAGGAGCTAGAGGTTTTAGTTCCACCAAGGATGCCTTAACCAAGTGTTGTAATATCTGGTTGGGTGGCATATGGAGTGGATTAAAATTTCTTTGCGACCTTCCAAATCTTCCTTGCTGCTGTCCCGTGGGATCATTAATGTTTGTTGTGCCCATGGCTGTGAGGCTACAACATTAATTTCTCCCTCTTTTCTTTTTGGGAATTTTGGAGCATGCCTCTTTGTGTTATAGGGGGTGCTTGTTGATCCCCCTGGTATTTTCCCACTCTTTATTCCAGTCTCAATTCTTTCTCCGATAGTCACTAGACATGAGAATCCCTAAGAGATACTTCCTACCATCTTCTCGTAATATAACCCTTGCAAGGTTCCCATGAACATATCTACTAACTCATTCTCCAACAGTGGTGGTTGCACACAGTATGCCATCTCCCTCCATCTCTGAGCATATTCTTTGAAGGAATCTTCTTTCTTCTGAGACAGATTCTGGAGTTGCATGCGAGTAGGCGCCATGTCCAAGTTATACTTATAATGCTTTAAGAAAGCATTAACAAGATCTGCCCATGTTCGAATATGTACTCGCTCCATTTGCATATACCAGTCTAAAGATGCCCCGCTTAAGCTGTCTTGAAAACAGTGAGCATCAACTTCTGATCATGGGCATGGGCATGCATCTTCCTGCAATACATACGTAAGTGACTTATTGGACAAGTGAACCCTTTGTATTTTCCAAAGTCAGACACTTTGAACTTCGGTGGGATTACCACATCAGGAACTAGGCCCATCTCGAGAGCATCTACTTTGAAGGCATCAAAACCCTCCACAACTTTCAACCTTTCTTCCAGAGCTTTATATTGATTCATCACCAATGGATTATCAATATCATGAGTACCCGTCGTTTTTAAGGGTGCCTGGTTGGC